ATAGTGCTTCAACAAAATAAAGGTTTTTAGGGTGTTTTTTGACTTGTCACTCATGTGAGATTGAATATGCACCATTGAACTTGGTGACTGGCGGGGAGAGATATGAGCCGTCCATTCCATAGATGTGCCATCGACATCCTATGGAAGGTGCTAGAACCATTACCTCCCACTTTCTAAACTATTTTCCTATCAATTAATTCAAATAAGAAATTATTATATGATAATATTATCTTTTCTTATTTTATGCATAAGTCTCTCATACATACCTAAATTTCATTAAGGCTTAAACTTTCTTAAAACAACACATTCTTATCTCTCAAGTTTAGAGCTTGATCTTGCAAAATGAAATTATCCTAGGTGGGGCGTGCCACCCATTGTGGCACAAAATGGGCCTCACCTAATTTGCTATGGTGGGTCCAAAAGACCTATTGGGCTTCCCATTTAATTATTTTATTATTTTTATTTAAAAACCCTAATTCATTATTTGAATATTTAAATCTTTATAAAATCAATATCTTTGTTTTTATAAATCCAAATTTGATAAACAAAATATTCAGAGATCCATAAAAATTCAAATAACAATTTTAAAAATCATATATTATTAAAATAGATAAAATTAAATATTTTGATGAGAAAAAGATCCATATGGTATATTAAATATGCAGTGGGGCACTTCATTTCCAACTGAAAATTGCAAACCATACTAAACCGACCCAATGTTGCCCATGAACCACAGTCCATGTAGGGGATCATTAGCAGGTTACCAAAGTCTAACCAATGGGCAAGGGGTCGTAGTCCTAGTATGTGGATTTCAGGTTCCCCTTAGAGACAAAACCTAGGTCATCATGACCTGATGCAATCCATTACTCAATAGTGCACACAAGGTATCTCTCGCACATGCACACGCTTCCTCCTGCAAGGTGGTTCGCTTTCTCAAAAATGGCTATCAATGTGCATGCCGTTTGATGATACAAATGTTGAGGCTTTGGCCTTGTCTCTGAAGGCTTCCATCACGAGCAAGAGTCACACAGTCCATCGGCTCACTCTTTTAGACATACTCTGACCTCATCAAGGGATAACTCATCTAACCCTTATCGGTTTGTTTCTCTATGCCCAGGTAATATGGGTTTTCCCCAACCAGACTGATCTAGTACGTTAAGCACAATCCAGTATCAACCAATATCGTTTGCTTAATATGGTCCACGTAAGACTATACTCCCACTGAATTCATGTTCTACTATATAATTTCATTTACAAGTACTCAAAAGGCCTTTAATGGCCACACTCACCCAACAATAATAACAATATCCATTTAATCAAATATATTTCACCCATCCATTCCTTCCACATCAATTAAAACTCTTCACAACATTATCAACAAATATTTACATGTAAATTTTACTTTATATAGTAGTAATACTTAAATTTGTTAGGGTATTCCTATCTACGAAGTATTTATTTAATGTACTCAACATTTTTGGACACTTGAGACCATTACCCTACATTGTAGTAAGTTTTTTCTCCTAGGGGTATCTTAGGTAATAAATGAAGGGTAAAATAAAATTCCTTGATAGAAAGAAAAATAATTATTAATTATAGTAGATAATGACATCATCCACATGAAGTATGATATCGCTCACATGAAAAATTAATTATTTTTTAATCACTACTAGAATGTCATTATTTTTTATATAAATATCTATTCGACGTGAAATAACCTCTTAACACCCTTTTTTTTGTTTTTTCTTTTCCTAAATTGGTATTTTTTTTTCTTTTAAATTCCCAGAGTCGAAATCCTTCGTATTTGTTACTCCATTGTCTCTCTCTCAATAACCTTCCCCCTTTTTCTCTCTATTCCCCCCCTTTCTCTCTCTACCCCATGAAAGACAGAGACCTAAGGGTCCATGGGCCACTCATGGATCCCAGGGTGTATATGTGACCATAAGTTTAGTTAGAAGAGTTTTTATGTTTTTCCCATGTGTATTACCAAGAAATAGTAATGAGTGTTCAATAAATATTTAATACATTAAAGAATACTCTTTGGAGCACACTAACAATAGGAGTACACTAACAAAACCTATATTTAAGTATAAATATTATTTTTTATGGTAGTATTAATATCCATCAATGCATCTGTTAGGTTGAATTGTGGTGGCATCTACAAGGATGGTCACTGTCATATGTCAACAATGCCTGCGCTGAAGAGGAGCCATAATCCTCATTTTTTTTCTTTATTAATATTTTCCCCATAAAAAATTTACCAAGCCCATCCCTAAGAGTTGTTTAATTCAGGAAACTTTCAAACACAGTAATATATATTACAAAGCAAATTATGTAAAAAAAAAAAAAACGTATATTACAAAGCAAATTATCATGAATCGAAAACAATAGTATGAAAGGTTTAACAAAAGGTCCTAACTCCTAAGCACTCACAACTTCACAAAACTATAATCACAAAACGCGTGATAATCATGTACCCACCAAAACATGATGCAATCAGCAAAACCGATTTGTGCGAAAGGAGAGTACCAAACACCATACAAAATTGGCATATGGTGGACAATGGAATAAGTTAATGAGGGACCATTTGGATCGGGAGGAGAGGATTTCCAGGCTGGATTTTCTTATAGAATCAAGAATTAGCACGGTGTCATCTAATTTACGTTATCCCACATCTCTCCTATATATTTAAAGGGAGTAACTAATATAAGCTCAGGAGCTGATGCAACAGTATATGCTCAGGTTAGATTTGGAACGTTTTAACCGTCATTATTCTATTTTGTATTTGAAGCTGCCAATTATTTTTAATATTTTTATTATGCATATGTATTTTTTAAGAGTAATTATTTTTTAAGAGTAATCATTCTAAATTTCAAGTGATTTGAATTTATAAAAAAATAAAATTTAAAAATAGAATATGGTTGTGGCTGTCCAATGGGTCAAAATTAAATCTAGGCTATTAGACTTATATTATTAAATCAACCCTTAATCTGACACGTTCTTTTTTCATATTTAAATCATCAACAACATAAACATGACTCAGAGCAACTCTCATGTTTCTTTCATTTCTTGTCTTTTAAATTTTGTTGGATCGTCGATTCGGCTTATTCAAAATGCCCAACTTGGTAGATCCAGGCTAGTCCAATTGGTTGACTAGCCGATCCAATTTTCAAAACGATGCTGTTTTGAAACATCAAGGGAAAGTACCTACTGTAGTGCACACGGAAGCAATAAACCCAATGGGTCAATATTTGGCAAATAAAGTATGATAAAACATGAAACACATACAACAAGAACGCAAAGATTTATGTGGTTCACACCAAAAGGGCTACATCTACGGGCACGGCATGGTAAAATCCACTATTCTAATGAAAGTTACATGAAAGATTTTGAAACAAACATCGACAAAAGACCCCAAGTCTAGCAAACCCCTTTAAACCACTCTCCATTAATTCTCTTTACTTCCGACAATATCGACAACACCAGATATAGACACACGAGCAACGATAAACTGATTTTTTCTCTAATTAAAAGGGGAACCACCCAAAATCTTAATGGGAACTGCTTCTCTACACGAAACAAACCTCTCAATCGTCGGGAGTCCAAAGAGGCACATCACAGTGTTTCTGTCCAAAGGAAGCTCTCTTCTCTAAGAGGAAATCACATCTTATGTACATGAGACTCTACCTCCCTCTCTCTCTAGATGAACCACCATTCCCATATGGTGACCCAAATTGAGCGAACAAATTCTCTGCACTTTCATCCCATCCATATAATTAGGAATCCACATAAAATAAGAAACTTCATATTGATATAATATATATCTAAAAAGACCAACAGATATATCCATAAAAAATCTTAATCTTATTGGATTTCTATTTCATTTAGGAACCTTATCATTATCAATATCAATCCCACTAATTATGGGAATATCTCAATTCTACATAATATGGATCAATCTTAATCGATCCCACAAAATATGAGATTTTCTTATATGTGTGATTTTGGATAGCACCAAATCCAACACATTAGTATAACATACTACTCGAGAACACGTTAGTATAACACACCTATCATTTAATTAATAGAAGAAGAGGTGCGCCACTGTTCTCCTACACAAAATGATGGAGAATGGCCACTCTATACAAGTTATCTTTTATTAAAAGGATTGTATATTATAAGATTATTTATTTTTGATAGAACGATATCACAATTATTCCTAAATATCAAATTAGATAGCCAGAAGGGTGTCACGAAGTTTTAAAAATTTGTCTTTTGAAAAAAGTTTGTAACGTAGACGGGAAAAAAGTATTTTTCTAAACAAGGCAAAAAGCCAGCGATTCCTAATCTACATCGCTGATTTGGATGGGAAACAGCGACAAAGAAACTGGTTTCCAAATGATATGGGTCCGGACATGTTCCACTCTAAAACCACCTTCTTATATATATTTTTTTCTTAAACTTATTTAATATTTTTTTTTAGCTCTCCTTGCATCTCTTACTGAAAAGGCCAATTTAATTTTTATTTTAATTTATTAATGGTTAATACCTTTCCATATCACTGATTGAGACCAGTTGGGATCGCTGATCCAACAATTGGATAGCGATCTACAGGGTGAATAGGACATCTCGACTATTCCGATTTTGATAAACAGGTCTTCTACATGCAGGACCAAATACACAATCGTTCCCTTAAGCCCACGTCTTGACACACAGGTCTTCTGCATGCGGGACCAAATACACAGTCGTTCCCTTAAGCCCACGTCATATGGCCTTATAGAAGAAAAGATTCGGGCGTGCAATTTCCTGGAATTTTCTCTCTCTCTATCGGCCGCGTGAATTGATTGCATTGCGACAGGTTCGTGGAAAAAAGAACAAATAGGAAACCCGACACATGCCCTTGTCCCACTGAACGGTCTAAAAGTAAATGTACAAAAGTCTCCAGAAACGCATTCCGTAGTCAACAGACTCATTAAACATTAAAGCAAAAAAAACAAGTGGGGTGGTTAAGAGGTGGGGTGGTTGTGTGAAGAGGGAAGAAAAACCTTCTCTTCTTCTTCATCTGCAAAAAAAAAAACCCTCTCTCTCTCTCTCACATATGCTTTCTCATGGCTTTGTTTACCACCAAATGGGTTGAGTCACTTGACTGCCTTAAGACAGCAATCTGTTATGGTGATGAATCTTGTATACATGATCACTGCTTTTATCCTCCTCCTCCCCCTCCCCCTCCCCCTCCCCTCTCTGAAAGTCACCCTAGCACAACTCCATCCACCCTTGTTATAGCTATTGTTACTCTTCTTACCAGTGCCTTTCTTCTCATCACTTACTATGCAATCTTTGTGAAGTACTGCTCTTTCCGTAACTCTCGAAATTCCAATCAACCCCATGATCATCATGAAAACAACGATCAGGAGAATAATCAGAACCAGAACCAGAATCAGGAGCCACCCATACACCATATTTGGTATATAACGACTGTGGGTCTTGAGGAATCACTCATAAAGTCGATTACAGTATGCAAATACAAGGGAGGAGATGGCTTGATTGAAGGAGCTGATTGCTCTGTTTGTCTTAGTGAATTCAATGAGGGAGAAGAGGTCAGGCTTTTACCCAAGTGTAGCCATGCCTTCCATCTCCCTTGTATCGATACATGGCTAAGGTCTCATACCAATTGCCCGCTGTGTCGTGCTCCTATTGTGTCGAATTCTGATGCCCCAACTTCTCAAGACCAAAATGGGGATGGGGTTTTAGTTTCAGGAGAGATTTCTCAGCAAAACGAGAGTTATGTTGTGGTTCCATCCGGCGGGAGTGAGGGTAGTTCAAGTGTGGGGGCAGGAACCGAAGATGAGAGAGAGAGGGGAAAGGTTGGAGAATCGGTGGCTGAAAGGGGAAGAGATATGACAAAGGTTGGAGAATCGGGGGCTGAAAGGGGAAGAGATATGACAAAGGTTGGAAATTTAGAGCGAGAAAGGAGAGGAGGGATGGGAAAGGCTGGGAATTCTAATGTGAGTTGTGGATTTTATGTGCTTCGGCATTTAGGGAGTGCTCATAGATTGGGGGAAAGCATGAGAGAAGTTAAGGCAGAGGCTCCACAGGCTATGCGGAGATCATTTTCAATGGATTTTCCAAATGGGATATGCTTATCAAGCTCTGATGATGGAGGTAAGAACCAGAGAAATGGGAAGCTTTTGAGAGATGGTTCAGAGGCTCTATCTTTTCAAAAGGGTCCAGTTGCAGTGATAAGGTCTTTCTCTTCGGGCAAGTTTGGATTCTCCAGACACAGTAGGGGCAGAAGCTCGGTTCTTCCTCTATGATTTCTCGGATTTACTGTGAATCTCTTCTCTCTCTGGACTTTTGTTTCCACGGTTTCTCTTTTTCAATGGGCTTGATTTTCAGGGAATCTCGACAACTCTGAGGTTCCTATATCCATCTGAGTAGTCTGCATGTGTTACTGAGGCTTGAACTGTAAATTAAAGATAAGCTGTATGGTTTTCTATTGAATAGATTATAAAATATATTTGAAAATTGTACTCTATATCTGAATCCATAGTGTATAACCAACAATAATGGCATTGAGTATGTTCTTCTTGAAAAGGCAGCAAGTAATTTGATTCGATGTTTGGTTTTCTTGTTCTTAATTCGAAACTTGTTTCACTTTGCAATGGGTTGCCTATTAAATAGTTGTGAGAGAAACCTAACAAATACTATGCATGCTAATATGGATTATTTAATCTTACAGTGTCTTGATGTATGTGTCAAGCACAACCACAACGAACTTGATAGGGAAACCTATTGTGGTGAATGAATTTTCATGGGCAATATTATTTCTTGACAATTTCTGAAATAGATGGGTCTGCCCCTTTTCAGCAGAAAGCACGATATGGTGAGTATTGTTTCATTAGTATAGCTATCGAGGAACATTTGTTGCTTCAATCTGGCTGGGAAGTTCTGTTCAGTAAGTTCGTTGTACCAGAGGTAGCTTTTCTGGAATTTCAAGGGTCGTAAAACTGCTTAGGATGAGGTTCTGTGAGTTCTAAATTTGCAGTGGATTTGCCCCATTAAGCCATTTTATCATTGCAGAAGAAATAAATTTAAAACCCATGGTTCCACGGGAACGATAGGAATTTAAGATCAAGTGACACTCTAATCAGAAGTGCATGTGATACACAATGGTTGTGTGATCAGATTTAAGGATGAGTCACCTCAACTTTGGTTGATTATAGTATACCTTTGCTTAGACTCTTGTTGGATCCAAAGAGATCTATCCAGTACCATCATAGGCAAGTCTTTATAACTAACTGATTCTACCCAGTTGAACTTTTGTAGATCCAAGTATAAGGGTGGGGTTTTGTGATTAGGTGAAAGCATCTCTCTCTCTCTCTCTCTCTCTCTCTAAACGCACCTAATTCCATCCCTCTCCCTCTCTCTGTCTCCAACATTTATAGAGTCGGGCATATTTTTTCCTCTATGCTGACACTCTTGCAATTGTTATAATAAAATATTAATTGATCCCATGTTTGCATTGTTCTGCTTAATTTTGAGTAAAGACTGAGAGGTGTTCGAGACACTAGCATATTATGATTGCTATTGTATTGGATACATGATGTCTATACTCTCTTGTTATTGGTATTACTAATGATGATAAACTCAATGAATAAGAAACATATTGCAAGATCCACTGGAACAACAAACAGAGTGAAATTCCATGTCACTTAGAAATGGCCTCTGAACAGTACATTATGTGAGGCTTATTTTATTATTTCCAACATACATTTAGTGGGTTTGCCCGAGATTCTATAGTTTTGAATCAGTCTAGCACATGGAGATGAGGACATAATGTTGCTAATAAAAAGTTCGAACCTAAGATCCAGGAGGATTACTTGAAATGAAAATGTATCAGCCAAGAGTGAGTAGAACCCTTGCTACACCCATTTTAGAAAAGCCAACAATTGAAACCCACAGCTCTAGAAAAGCCTCAGGCGCTAAGGGTGTAATCTGAATTTATTTAGCCAGATTTTTTCTTCCATAAATCTTTCTAATTCATATTTTTCTAGTTCAGTTGAAAACTAATACCCAGGCTAAGGAAAATTAAGCAATAGCTGACCATCGCCTCGAAATGTTGAGAGTTAATGGCCAAGAAAGCTAGGAGCCTGACAATGACTAACCATTGCCTCAAGGCAATGATAGTTAAGGGTCGGAATACCAGCAATAGCTGACCATCGCTTCGAAGCATTGGCAGTTAAGGGCTGGAGGATCCAAGGTGAACTAGCAACAACTGAACATCACCTTGAAGCATTGGCAGTTGAGGGCTGGAGTAATTAACCTCGATGTGGCGTTTTCAAGTGAATAAGTATTTACTTTCCAAGCTCTGGTATCTCAGGTGTCTACTTTCGCTGCTCACCTATTCCTCAAAGAACAGGGTATTCCTTGAAGAACAAGGTGTGCCAAAGAGGGGCAACTGTAGACCCCTCATTGAATTTTTGCTAAGAAAATACCTAGAAACATGTGACGTGAACCATGGGGACCATCCTAGTACATTGAATCTTAGACCACCATAATCCATAGTCCACAATATCCAAGAAATCTTTACAAGTTTTTTAAATCTAGTAAAGTCAACTCAAACCATCAAATCTTATCTGAATCTGATAAGATATGTCTAAATTTATCTAGAGTAGCTCAGAAACATCAAAAAACCTTAGATTGTGGGTCCCAAAATAGGTCAGAATTTTATTTGACCTCCTCCAATCAGTCAGGAAAGAAGTTTGGTATCATTCTGGAAGATTTGGAACACATATAGCATATCGATGCAAATCATGTTCCTAGGCACTCAGGTCTCAATGATGCATATTGCATCACTGTCAGCTCTTGACCCTGGATTTTCTGGAAACATGGTGACGTGCTCTTGGATCTTTTGTTGACTTTTCTGGAAGCTTTTGGAATTGTGTGGGGATGTGTTTAACTGATCAAAAGCCTAATCCCATCAGAACTAGAAGTTTTGGAGATATATCTTGGGACTCCGATTCCTAATAGATCTAGTAGCCAATGTGATGCAGCTCAGAATATTTCTCTCAAGTATCTAGATAAAGGAGACGAGCTTAAAGTTTACAAGAGGAATTGCGAAAGGACAAAATAGTCATTAAATCATTCTTTTTTATGTCTTTTATTTATTTCTTGAGTCATTTTGTTTACTTAGGAGCATAAGTAGTAATTTCTATGTCCTTTTCAATGTTCAAAAATACGGATTCGGCCGCCTTAGCGGTTTGGGTGCTTGGCCGCTTAGGCTCCTAGGTGGGTGCCCAGAGACAGGGTGCCCTCACGAAAATTGAACCCCCCTCCCAAAAACAAAAAAACAGGGGAGTTCAATTTTAGAGCCCCAAACTCGTGAAATAAACAAAAATGTAATAGTACAATCACATAACAAATTTACATATACAAGTTTCAAAGAGATTGTAACTTGTAAGATATTAAAATGCTTGAAATCCCAAATGTCATTGTAAGAGACTAGAAGTCTAGACTAGAAACGATACACAAAGTCAACAAGGCAAACTAAGAAAGCAAATACATCAAGTCATCAACCAAACACCTCTATGGCATCAACGACATCACCATGTAGGTGGTCAATTAGATCATGAGGAACATTTGGTGATGATGTTTCCATGCCATCATCATCAGAGTCATCACCCTCCTCAACATATCATCATCCCTCGTCTCCTCGGAATCTACATCTTCCTTTTCTTCATCCTCTCTTGATGCCATCACCCTCTTCCTCTTCTTTGCCACTGCCTTCCCCTGCCAGGCCTTCTCCTTCCCCTTCCCCTTCCTTTGGCTTTGAGTTTGAGCCCGAGTGGTATGCGCAGGGGGACATTGCTGTCCAGCAGCCTCACGAACCTGGCCCCAGGTCAAGCTCTCTCCAAGGAAAACCACATCATCATTGGCATCGATTAGCCACTCAACATGTGTCGTCAATATCAAAAGCTTCAACAACCTCCCTTTGATTGTGCTCCAGCTGATGATGGCGGTTTTGCAACTTCTGATTATACTAAACAAAGACTAGGTCGTCCAGTTGTTTTTACTCTAGTATGTTCCTTTTCTTTGTATGCACCTAATAAAGAAAAGCTCACTTAGTTACTAACTTACTAAGTACTAACTAGTCTACTACTAAGTATGTATGACATTAACTTAATAAGTACTATTACCATTTCAAAGGTGCTGAAGTTGTGCTCACGTTTAGAAGAGCTGCAAGTCAGATTTAGTATTTTCATGGCCATTTGCCTCAAATGAGGGGTGCTTCCACCATGGCCCATCCACCATGCACCTATTTCTTGTAAATGTGAAATTATGAATTTAGTAATTTAGGTATATGGCCATCTAGTTAATTGAAATTAAATACTCAAATTATAAAATCAAATTGAAGAAGTTCTAAACTTACCAGGAGAGATCTTGGACCTTTGCTTGATTGCCACCTCCTTACCTAGAGATCCAATAGCGAGCCTATATAGATTTAACTCCATCATTGCCTTATCCTGCACTTCAGGTTCAGGGTTGAGCTTCACATTGCATTGGTTGAAAGCATCCATGAACTCAGGCCTGCTATGTACTTTAGCATTGGTGTAAAAGTGAGCAGGGTTAAGGTAGTCCCCTGCTAAGTGTAGGGGCCTCTCAAGCTGGGCCTCTCAAACATGGACCTCAATTTGTCCTTCTACTCAAATAAAGATTGCAAGGACAAGTATGAGGTGGCAAATCTAGTCACCCCAGGCCTCACCAAGTCTATGTTCTTAGTAAACTTTCTCATCATGGCTAGGACTTGACGAACATAGAATTCCATAAGTTAAGTAAATTACCCTCAATACATCAATGCATTAAAAATACTCAAAATAAATAACAAATAACCAAAGAAACTAGTATAGTACTAAAATGTATACATGAGTGTGACTGTACAAATAAATTGTGACTTTCTTTGCCTTTTTGATGGTTGTCATGAACGCCTTCCTCTTACCAATGGCCTCAAGCATGCGGTCTATGCAGTGTGCTGCACAAGGGGATCAGAAAATACGCGGCCTCTTATCCATTAATAATCTAGTAGCCGCCATATTAGCTGAATACATATCCGTCACAACTTGGACCACTTTATCCTCCCCTATTTCCTCTATACACTGATCCACTAAATTAAAAATGAACGTTGCATCATGGGACTTGTCTGAAGCATCAATAGACCTCTTAAATATTGTCTCTAATGGACAATTCACCATCAAATTCATGATGCTTCTGTGGCTCTTATCACTCCAGCCATCGGTCATTACTGTGCAACCATGTACACCCCACGTATCAC